ATATATATATATATATATATATATATATATATATATATATATATATATATATATATATATATATATATATATATCTATATATATATATATATATATATATATATATATATATATATATATATATATATATATATATATATATATATATATATATATATATATATATATATATATATATATATATATATATATATATATATATTTATTTTTTTTCACTTATTCTCACTCTATCTCTATCTCTATCTATCTATATATATATATATATATATATATATATATATATATATATATATATATATATATATATATATATATATATATATATATATATATATATATATATATATATATATATATATATATATATATATATATATATATATATATATATATATATATATATATATATAAATACCTGCGGGCGTCGAACAAATTGAGGTGAGGTGTGTTCTAAACCAAGTTAACTGAGCGTCGAGGGAAGGAACATTAGTCGGAACAATAATGCCCCTCGAAGTGAAGAAAGACGAGTTTAGCGCTGTACTTGCAGCAACTGCAAAGTTGACACCATTTTTGAAAGAAGCATTCTTGTCTAGATATGGGTTCAACAATGGAATCCCAAGAGCCATAGCTGCAAATCGTTACCAATTTATTTAGTAGTCACTATATATTTTAATGGAGAAATGATGAATAAAATTTATATTAATGCATATAGACATAGTTACAAATTCTTATTATTTATGTTTCGATTCAACGATTTACTATGTAGTTTTTTTTCAAGTGTTATTACTATTATAAGGGTAAATTCCACTTTCCACCCTTATACTTTGTTTTGGTATCACTTTATTCTCTTCTACTCTCAATTGCATCGATTTGCCCTCTTGCACTTGAAAAAATATCTCAATGAATTGTCAGAAATTTGACATTAACACCGTTTGGTCTAAGCTCTGAAATTACAAAAAAAAAAAACGCAACCCCTACCAGTTTAAATAATTATTAAAAAAACAAAAAGAATAAAAAGAATAAAGGGGTAAATTGATACCGAACCAAAGTACAAGGGAGGAAAGTGGAATTTACCCCTTATTATAACATTAAATATCTAAAATTCAAAATGTGACTCATTCATGCATAACTTTGTCACACGACATCCAGTCTAGCGGATTAAGTTGGATTAGAAAGCTAACCCAAAGAACTACAGTTTTCGTGTTTCAAATTTTGCCAAAATCAAAATAGAAATATATCAAAATCAGGTTTGAAGTCAAAACGACATTAGTAAAATTGAAACGACATTTAACATTTCAGTATATATATATATATATATATATATATATATATATATATATATATATATATATATATATATATATATATATATATACACCCCCTCTTACCTGTGAAATCTATGCCGAGCCCCGCCATCAGACCAACGGCCAGTTGGGGTACCGGGAAAAGTTTCACCGTAAGGCAGAGTAGCGGCGGGAATAGTGGGACCCGCAGGGAGAATTCGATTTAAATTCCCCGTGTCTGAGAATGAATCTCCAAACTGGTACAGAGATTGAAAAGGGCGGCATATAATACTATGTATAATTGCACCTTGAATTGAAATTATGGGGAAGCTTATTACTACTAAACAAACGAGTAAAACAGAACCACCATATCCATAATTAACTTTGCCTAACATGATTATTATTTAACGATGCTTTTGAAGTAAACTTCAAGTATTTATGCAAGCATTTTGTGCCTATGAAATAAATTTCTCAAGTCTCCCAAGAATCTTTAATGAAACCGGAAAAAAATTGCACACACACATATATATATATATATATATATTACTGCTGACTATTCAATTTAATAATTTAGGTAGTGCTACCTAACATGCAATATTGACTTGGAGCATCTCCCACTCGGGCTTTTGAGATCCTACACCGGGTAAAATACACCGGGTAGATCTTTATCATTCATATACACACAAACACACACACCCATATTGGTATGTGTAGATCAACGGTTAAAAATCACCCAGTGTAACCTTCACCGGGTGTAGGATAGAAATAACCCTCCCACTCATCACTGAATCATATTTTTGTCACCTAATTTTGGTAATAAATTACAATTACTTTTAAAATTATAGAGATTTGGTTTAATATTCCACGCTGTATCACCATAGTGATATGATTTAATCTATCACCGAAAACTAAAGTAATGATTTACAATAGAGTTCGTCACACATAGTTAGCCTAGTATGTTTTACAAATTTTTTATATTGTCGGTTGCGCGGCGAGGGGATTTTTCAATGCATTTCGAATGATCGCGTATTTTACTGTCCATAAAAAAATATTTCTTTTACTGCTTTGTCATTCCTGATTATTGTGGTCGACGATTATTGATGTTTTTTTTTTGAAATACATGCGGCATATATAAATATTATTCGTAAGAGCATTCTTAGTAGTTTCCCTTAAAATCAATGTTCAAACAGTGGGGTCCACATGCTACATCGTCAATTTGTTTACTTCCTAAAGATTGGACCCACTTTGACCACTCTCTAGAAAAGAAAAAAAAAAAATGCCTTCTAGAGGTACATGTTAATGTTCTTTAAAAATTGGTCCATATATATAAAACTATAATAAAATATCATTAGCTAAATATAATATTTTTAGAATTTTTTTGGTATTATTTAGCTATACAACTTATATTATAAAATTATTTATCAGTTTAAATTTAAAATTTAATATCATCTCAAATATTTATAATATTTTTGTCGTACGTTGCTCCCAACTTTGCAAGGGAGCACCTTGGGGGCGTAATCCTATTTTGCACCCTTAAAATATATTGTTTTGACATTTTAAAGTAAACGAAACAAATTAATAGTACTTTGAACCCTTGAAACACAATAACTCATGCATAATGTACTCGAAAGAATGCTAAATGTCAAATCAATTTGTTTATATTCATCAATCATTTCGAAACTACAATGTGAAAAAACAAAAATACATCTCATCTACATATTTAAAAAAAAAAACATTTTACGAAAAATAAAAAAGAAAAAAAAAATCTCTTCAGCTATTTGGTTATCAAATTATTTGACCAATATATTTTCTTCCACGGATTTTTATTTAATATTTCCACTAATTACAATAAGACATCCATCAATCGAATAATCTAGTAACAAAAGTTTAGTTTTTAGCAGTGTTCTAAATAGCGGTCGTGGCGGTCGATATATCGGCTGCCATATCGGTATCGGTTATAAACCTTTACGATTTTGTTGAAGCGGTTTGGAATATCGGTTTTTTACGGCGAGGCGGTTTGCGGCGGTTTTTTGGCGGGTCAAACCGATATATCGGTCAACAAATCGGTTTTTTTTTTTTTTTTTTTTTTTTATAATTAAAATTAAAATGAAAATATGTTTTGATTTTTTGTTTTTCTCCAATTCTTTCAACTTCCAAAACCAAATCAAGTACAACTCCGCAATTTATGCTTTGTTGTGTTTATATTAATTGTTGATGCGAAAGACTTGCGTAGTATTTGTATTTCGTAAGAATCTTTTATTATATTATGATCTTATTATTTTTTTAAATTTTTATTATTTATTGAGTAATTAGAATTATATAATAACATGTGAATGATAGGATAGAATTATGTTTAAATATTCTTTTATATATATTTTAAGTATTTACAAATAATATTTAGAAATATATTACACTATATTTAAGAACCGATATATTTCCGATTTATCTCCGATAAATCACCGCCGCGCCGATTTATCGTGTGGCGGTCCATAACCGCCACGTACCCGATAACCGCCTTTTAGAACCTTGGTTTTTAGTAAGAAAATATAGTTTTGCAGTAATTCATTGTGATTATTTTTTTTTTCGCATTTTGTACTCTCGAACTTTATTGGAGGTAAATTAAAATAACAATTTAATTTATTATTGTGCATCCTGGAAATAAAAAAACCAATAAAAATAAAATTACCCTCATTAAGTTTTTTAAATATCAATTTATAACATATTGTGAAAGATTTATAGTATTTTAAAGGTGCAAAGTACTATTAATTGTTTTTAATGATCCAAAGTGTCAAAATATTATATTTCAAGAGTCCAAAGTACGAGGTACGAATCCAACTATTTAAGCAGTTTTGGAGAGGAGAATTTAATCCACTAAACCAACCCATCACCCTAAATTGTAGGGTAACCACTAATGGAACAAGTCACAAATGTTAAAATGAGTTACTAAATATTTTTTTGCTTGTTGATATATTGTTTTGATATTTTTACAATATACACTGATTATTAACTAAAAAATGATTATATGTTTAATTGTCACGTGTATAATTGAATATTTGGGTGATTGGAATTGCAACTTTCATTTGATTCTTCTTTGATGCCTTTTATTGAAGGATGATTGTTGAGTTACAAAATAATAGTTTTATTATTATTTTATATTCTATTTAATTCTTTTATTGAAGTTGCTCGAAGGAAAGTTATGTGTAGCATACTCCCCATATTGCATGCAATTAAATTTAAACAAGTAGCAATATATTTGTCTATATAATGCAAATTATGCCGTGTAAAGAGTGGTCTAGTGGATAGAGTATAAGAGTGTTGTGTTGTTTGCTTCATGTTTGAATCATGTTGTCAGTGTTCTTCAAGTCGAATTTGTCACACGTGGTTAGCCCAATGTAATTTACATCTTTCACTTGATTTGTGAGTTATTACACAAGAGTATAAATTTACCTTGTGTTACATAGTCAATTTCAGTTCCTTCCTTATCAGGGCTGGCCCATAGATTTTCGGGGCCCTAAACAAATTTTTAAAAAAATGAACCTTTTCTAATCCAATATTGTTCAACATTTTTTCGGTCATCCTGAGTAATATATCTCAACTATTATAATATGTGAATTTAAAAAAACTTTCAATAATCGATCTGTGATTGAAAATCAGTTAATTTACTTTAAATTTCAACCTTGGCGGATGGACAAATTTTCTTGTTGGTAGTTGTTAATAAAATAAAGACTTGAAAAATTCAAAGGTACAAATTCACACTAAGTAATATATAAGTCTCTTCAAAAAAAACTATATAAAATATATATATATATATATATATATATATATATATATATATATATATATATATATATATATATAAGTGTTTAACGTATTAGTGTAATCATCTTAGTTGAGTTATATTTCAAAATTCGACACTTATTTTTATTATATGTCAGAAAAATGAGCCCCCAAATTTATGATTATTTCAAAACTCAACGACACCGTTGTCATTACAAATGAATATAATTTTTTTGGTACATAAAAAATATGTTTTTACTTTGAATTTTATTATATATATATATATATATATATATATATATATATATATATATATATATATATTATTTTTCAAAATTTGGGGCCCTTTGGAAATGGGGGCCAAGAGCAATTGCTTCCCCAGCCTACCATAAGGGCCGGCCATCTAGTCTCTATAAACTTCAAAGTCAAATCCAGAAAATTGAATTTTAGATATAAAGTAGTGAGCTATATTATATTCTATGTGTGTGTATATGTTAGCCTGGGTTTCGCAGCAATTGTCTACGTGGTGGAGGCCCGGGTATGGGCGGCCCACAATCGAATGCCGTGGGCGCTTGTGTGTGTTGAATGCACTATAAGGCTATGGTTTGCACATTTCCTAACACCAATTGGTTTTAGGACAACTGGTAGCGCCTGAGGTCCTACAAGTGGTATCAGAGTCAAGTGATATTATTAGCAATTAAAACACTTACCATTTTATTCAAATATAATTCAAATCAATTTTTGCATTTTGGTACCCAAATGAATTTACAGGTGGTTCCCATTTTATATGGACAAGAAAAAGGTTTATGCCCAATTTTACCACAATAATTGTAAGTATTATATGATAAAGATGATGCATTCGATAACTTGCTCAATTCCTTATAATGCGAGTGAAAACCAATTCCAACTTTATCTAATGACACATTTTGCAAGCCAAGTAATTTATCGAGATTTTCTTTGCCCTTAGTGAATTTTTCAAGGCATTTATTCAAATCAATAACCTCGTTTACTAGCACAAAATTCTTTATGGATAAAGAAGATTTTTCTTTGTCGCAAATAGGTAGCTTTTCAATATAAGAATTTAATTTAGCTTCTATTTTTTCTTTTTCATTATTGACAATAATAATTTTTCTTTTCAAGATATCATTCTTAGAAGCTAATTTTTCCAAACACTACTAGAAAAACCATCTATCGGAACGCCGTAAACCGTCACCAAAAGAGGCTATCGTGACGCTTTTGCTATTGTGACGCCTAGATAAAGCGTCACATAGGTGGCCGTGGTAATAGGTTATTGTGACGCTTTGGTGACGTCACAAAAACATTTCTTTAAAGACGCCCTCGCTCGTCTCCAAAAGGGACTTTTGTGACGCCTAGTGGTGTCACATTAATTCTTTCCAACAACTTTAACAGCCTATATATGTGACAGTTTAAACCGTCGCAACAGACATTCTTGTGACAAATAAAAACGTCACAAATGCGTGGATAAATGCTATCAGACTATTTTGGTTCTTCACTTGCCTACTATACCAGGACAATCAATTATCCGTAAAGCAATTCAATAAAAAACCATTATCTATTATGAAAGAATATTAATGACTGAATATAGCTGAATAACAATTTTATTTGTTGATTTGCCTAAAACACATCGACAGTAGAGTACAGAATAGCATCTTTACTCTATTCACACCTCAAAACATTTTAGAGGTCAAAAATCAACAGCATTCTAAATATTACAAAGTAACCCGGATCATCAATGTTATGCAAGAATAGCATGCATCAGACCTTGGAAGCTCAATCTTGACAATTCAAATCTCTTGCCATCAAAATCCTTCTTTTGTGATGACCTATTAAAAGAATAAAATAAATCAAGGAAAAATGAATAGTCATATTATAAATAAGTTCTTGGGAGATAATTGAACATCGATTATAATTATAAGAGAAGATAAACTTCAATTCATACCATTAATTCAACAACAAGTTGCATTTCTGCATTCTCTTGTTGAACAAAGTTTGCTTTATCATCAAAATGAGTGAAGTTTCCCTGAAACAAGAAATCACGTCTTTCCCACATTAAAAGAGAACCTTCCGATTCACCTCTTTGATTTCGTCTATTAAAAGTTGTTCCTGTATAAACAGATAAAAATGCAAACACGGAAAATACATTAACCTTAAGTACTCACGGAAAGTTGTTCTTCATAAGATACACTTATGAATATTTTGTTATGCAGGTTATGTGCATATGGTCAATTGGTACAATAATCAAATCTTATAGAGAAACATAAAAGTAAAACTATATAGAATACATGTGAGCCCCTCAAGTTCCATATGCTGCCAACAAAACTAGAACGTGTACTTATAAAATAGGAACTACTGTTAAAATAATCATCAGTATTGTCATTCCAAACAAATAAATATCAAGTATATCAGCCCAGGTTCCATGATTAACATTTTTTAATAAAAAAAACTACATTAATCAAAATATACAAGAATGTTCATCCAGCATCTTTATGATGTTTTAGCATCTCCTAGCAACACTATGTACTCAAAATAGGTTAATGGACATCAAACATTAAAAAATCCATGCATTAAAAATTATGTCCTTGAATTTTAATGTTAATACAATAATTATAATTACCATTATACATTGCTTAAGATGAAAAGTTTTTTTACCTTACAAATAAGATACACCTAATTTTCTCAAAAAAACATATGTGACTATTAAAAACAAAACCATTAAATTTGCACAAACAACAATCACAATCAGAACGAAGCACTCAAACTTACAAATTCATTATCTTAAGCTTTAGTTCATTTACTAGATCATTAGCAAATGTGAAAAATATATTATATAAACTAAATTAAATACAAGAAGCAATTAAATAAATAGTAAAATACAATAGATACTCTATGCATCTCAGCAAATCCATAAAATTTAAAATCAACTATAAACTAGAAATATTATCATCAATAAAATCATTAACCCCAAACAAACAAGTTGCACATATTGAATTTTCAGCTTTTTAGTTCGGGCACAATTCAAACCCAATGATAAAAAAAAGGGCAACAGCAGAAGGAAAGTCAAATAAGGTAAAAAACAAATAGGAGAGAAAAAAAAAACTTACGGCGGGGTAATGACTATCGAGCTTCTTCGTCATGGCGCACTCAGATTTACTGCGGCATAACAAATTCAACTAAAATTAGGGATAAACTATAAGAGGAAAAACAGAATTACTAACCTATCTCCATGAAATCGAATAAAAAAATAGGATTCTTCGATCCGTATCCGAAATTAGATACAGTGTTGAGTGTTCAATCTATCTCGATGAAATCTCCACGAACGAACATGTCGTTGCCCAAATATGAAAATGATCTTCTTCTTTGACGGGTATTGGAGTCTGCAATTTGTTGGAGAAAAACCAAAATTGCAGATAAAATTGGGGACTGCACGTTGGTGAGAAGAGGGGAAAGGGCAGAAGAATAGGGTGGAAATTTTGTTTGGGGATTGTTAAATTTAAAGATTTGTTAATAGGTTAACTTTAGAATTTATTTATTTTTTACGCGTATGAGCGGGTATTAATTTTTTTTCTCAATAGAAATAATATATTATGACGATTTATTCAAAAGCGTCATTAAATATATTTTTATAAAATAAAATAATAAAAAATAAACAGGTATCCGTAGAGGCGTCTTAATAGAATACCTATTGTGGCCCATTTTAAAGCCTGTCATAATAAGGTGCCGTTAAGGCGTCATTAAAGGCTAATTTTCTAGTAGTGAAATCTCTTCTAACTCATTTATCATTTCATGCCAATCGTCTTCACAATTAAAATCATCACATTCAAGGTCATCATGACATTCATCAAAATCATTTATCCTATTAAAGTAAGAACTACATACCTCTTCGTTTGTCATGAGACAAACATTTGCGATTTCCTCATCGGTCATATCCCCTTCGGATTCTTGATCATCCCAAGTTGTGCTTAATCCTTTGTGTTTTGACATCCGTTGGAACCGTTCACCTTTGTTGAGTAACGGGCAGTTGGGCTTTATATGACCGGGATTTTGGCATTGATAACACTTTATCTCACTCTCAAATTTTGAGGATTTCCGAAGGTTTCGGGGAGAATTTCGGGAGAAGTTCCGGGTAGAATTTAGTAATTGATTTATCCTTTTTGTGATCCTCGTGATTTCCTCATTCTTCTCGTCCTCATCTAAGTCTTCCAAATCGTTATCGTCGTCCTGCATAGTGTTAGATTTAAAAGCAACGGATTTTTCTTTATTTAATTTTACCTCGTCTTTTGCAAGTATGGTGAGCTCATGGGATGTGAGGGAACCGATAAGTTCCGCAATGCTCATATTATTCAAGTCCTTTGCTTCTTGGATTGCGGTCACTTTTGGAGTCCATTCTCGAGGCAAGGATCTCAAGATCTTTTTGACTTGTTCACTCTGAGAGTAGATCTTGCCAAGTGCCGTCAATGGGTTTATGATCTCCATGAAGCGAGCATACATTTGACTTATGGATTCTTCTTGCTCCATGTTGAACATCTCATATTGATGTACTAGAATATTGATCATTTGTTCCTTTACTTGGGATGTTCTTTCATGGGTGACTTGCAACATCTCCCACATATCTTTAGCTGTAGGACATGAACAAACACGATTATATTCATTAATAGTAAGAGCACAAGAAAGAATGTTCTTAGCCTTTGAGTTCATGGACACTAAATATTTGTCCGCGGATGTGAGTTCCTTCCATTCCTTGGGCACTTTTTCGCCTTTGATGTCCTTCATAGGAATGAATCGTCCTTCTAGAATAATTGTCCATAGATCGCAATGGATTGAAATTAGGAATTCTTGCATGCGGTTCTTCCAAGTATAATATGAAGTTCCATCAAAAAGTGGTGGCCTAGTATGAGATTGTCCCTCTGCAAAAATATAATTACTAAAAGAAGCCATAGGATCGTTAGCTCTTGGGTTGTTAAGCCCAACAATAAAAAATTAAGAGCACGAGGCTCTGATACCACTTGTAGGACCTCAGGCGCTACCAGTTGTCCTAAAACCAATTGGTGTTGCAAACCCTAGCCTTATAGTGCATTTAACACACACAAGCGCCCATCGCATTCGATTGTGGGCCGCCCATACCCGGGCCTCCACCACGTGGACAATTGCTGCCAAACCCAGGCTAACAATCTCCCCCACAGCAATTGCTCCAGCTGGGAATCGAACCCGTGACCTTGGCTCTGATACCACTTGTAGGACCTCAGGCGCTACCAGTTGTCCCAAAACCAATTGGTGTTAGAAAAGGTGCAAACCCTAGCCTTATAGTGCATTCAACAGACACAAGCGCCCACGGCATTCGATTGTGGGCCCCCCATACCGGGGCCTCCACCACGTGGACAATTGCTGCCAAACTCAGGCTAACAATTTAGAGAATAAATATGCCTAAGAGGGGGGTGAATTAGGCTTTTCAAAACTTCTTAATATTTTTGCAGAATTAAATTATTTTTAGAAAAATATATTTTTCTTTGATAATAAATATTTTGCAAACTTCCAAATTAATTCCGAATAAAGTTTTAGCAATAAACAATATATGAGTGCGGAAATTTGAATACGATAAAATAAAGTGCGTAAAGTAAATGACAGCAAATTTATAGTGGTTCGGAGAAATTCCCCAACTCCACTCTTATAGGCCCTCGAACTTTATTCCACGTGCCTCCAAGATCCTTGGATCCTCCACACGAAAAAAAGATGTGCTTACAAGACTCTAACGACTTTCGCACCAACGACGTGCTTACAAGAGACTCACTCTTTCGCACTTATCAATACGTGCTTACAAGAGACTAACTCTTTCGCACTCAACAAAAACCTCACAACAAAGAAATGCTCTCTAAGAGCTTTACAAAATCCCTCTCAATATATATAATGAAACAAGTGATAAGCAAGAGGAGAATTTCGAATTTCCTAATAATTAAATGACTCTCTATAAGCTCTTTTCGAAATTGGCTTGGAATGTTTAAGCTTGAATGAATGGTCCACTATTTATAGGTGAAGCTCTTCATCTCTAGAAAGGAAATAATCAATCTTTAATCTCTTGATTGATTAGATGATGAGTCTGATTGATCTCCAGCTGATTGAGATCAATTAAATCACTTGAATATGGTAAGCATTTGAATTTTAAAACTCAAAAGGAGTGTTCTTCCTTCAAAAACGATTTTCAGCAAAACATCTTCCAGCCAGCTTCAGCAACTTCCGGGCTAACTTCCGGACAGCTTATATATTTTTGAATCTTTGATTGAGGATTGATTTAAAATCTTCCAAGTCCGAAAATATGATTATCAATCAGTTTAAATCAATGAAAAAACGTTTTTCAAACAATTCAAATAATTTTGAATATTAGACCATTTTCCAAAGATAGAAGATCTTGAATTTCGAAAAACCTTTTGCTTCCAAAATCTCACGTATATTTCTTTCAAATCTCAGCTGACCCTTTTGAAATAATTTTCAAGAAAAAAGGATTTATTTTCGAAAATAAATTATCATTTTATAAAGGGCTAATTTTCGAAAATAAAGACCAAATAAATTGGGCTTATTATTTGATCCAAGAAAGAAGAATTTGGACCAAGACTAGAAAGTCGTATGGAGGATCGTTCGGATCTCGTTCTCGGGATAGTTCAAGGACACTAGGCCTCTTATGGATTCTGTCACTCCGGTCTTGATTAATTTCGCCTTGATAAATTTGTCTAATAAAAACATGACTCAAGGAAAGACTATTAGATCAAATCAATTGTTTGTAAATCATCACATTCGAAAGTAACCTTTCGGCTAACAATCTCCCCCTTGATGA